CCCCCGCCGGGAATCTAATAAAAGGTATGGAACTGTCCTCAGAAAAATGTGCCCACACACAATTTCATACCATTCATGCAGCCCCTGAGTCCCACCTGAGCATCCCTGGGAGGCCCCTGGAGTTTTTACTGGTAAGGAAATCAAGGCCTAGAGAGGGAGGGTGGCTTGCCCAGAGTTCATGTTAATTTGTGGTAGGGCCTCAGAGTGTGGAAATATCAGAGGCTCAGAGTGTTTTACTGTGGCCTGGGACACATGCATCCCCCTCCCCCCAATTACTTACCCCACACACACACACACACACACACACACACACTAGACAGGGGCAGGAAGGGGACGGTTTCCAGGGAGAGGGGATTGTGAGATATGCAGGCAGGTCCAATCCAGTTCCAAGCAGCTGGTGCCTGGGGGCATGGAGATGAGATAAAGCCTCCCAGCTCACAGTGCGCTGAAGCTGGCTGGACACACTGAGGCTGGGCTGCAGTAGACTGGCCTGTGGTGGGGGAGGCCAGTCCTGGCCCCTCTGCTCACCTGCTGCACACTGCCTCCCATAAGCCCAAGCCTCGAAGTCCCCCCAAAGTTGACCTGTGGAGGCACCATGCTGCTCCCTGCCCCCCTCTTTGGGATGGCATGGGCACTTACTAACGGGTAAGCCGCCCACTGCAGGGACCCTCCCACTAAGTCCTTTTCCTCCTGCCCCATGACTGGGGCCCTTTGGAGCAACCAGACCTCCTCCCAACCTCCGCCTCCGCCTCAGTTCACTAACTTCCCTGGGAGTTGGCTCTTTCAGGAATGGGCTTCTTGGTGACAAGGGACAGTGGCAGCTGCTCTCTCATTCCCCATCCTTGGGCAGGCGATAGTGTGAGCACATGGAGACCATTCTGGTGGAGGAGGAAGTCACCCCACGTCAGGAGGACCTGGTGCCTTGCACCAGCCTCTATCATCACCGGCGCCTGGGCTGGCGGCTGGACCTGTCCGGGAGTGGACATGCAGGGCTCTGTCCCATCTACAAGTGGGTGAGGGTCGGAGTCTGGGCTGGCTGCCCAGCAGGAGAGAGCAAAGGGGCCATATCCGGAAACTGGGGGAGGACTGGTGGTGATCTGGAGAAGCAGCCATTTGGGAAATAGGTCTGGGTGGGCTCTCAAAGGGCAGAGCATGAGGGATGGGGGTAGTGGATGAGTGGACACCACTAAGAGCAGCCCATGGAGATGCTTGATGCCTCCAGGCGGCCTCCCCAAGGTCATCTCATGGGGAAATGAAGACCAAGAAGGGAAATCACTTGATAAGTTCACTCAGAGAGTAGGTGACTAGATTGAATGACCATCCAGTCCATTCCCAGGGAGGGGGATGGGCTAGACACTAACATCTCCTCCCTTCTGCCTGCTCCATGGAGCCAGGCCCCAGGAATCACGACCTGTTGCGTGGAACAGGACAGTGAGGGCCTGCTGCCCAGGCTGGGGAGGCACCCACCGCTCCCTGGGTAAGTGCCTGAGATTAGCCCGGATCTGTAGTGTCATGGAGGCGGCAGGCTGCTTGGGGAGGGAAGCTGGGTCCAGACTGACTGGGTCCACCCCGTTCTCTCTCTGTATCCACCACAGCCCTTGCAGAAGCCAGCCCCAAGGGCTACTGCTTTGCCACATGGCAGTGCCAGCCTTGGGCAGGCTCAGCTCATGCATCTGCAGGAAGCCTGGAGGAATGCTGTGCCCAGCCTTGGGGACCCAGCTGGTGGGATGAACGCTCCCAGGCCTGCCTCAGCTGCTCCAGCCAACGGCTTCCAGGTGGGTCCCAAGCCTGTCAACAGCACAGTCCCAGCTGTCACCGCTCCCTAGGCACGCCCACGTGGAATTCTTGAGCTCTGGGCCTTTCCACAGGGCCCAAGTCCACTCCCCTGTCCTCTCAGATGAGTCACCTCCCATCCCCTGCCCACCAGAGTGACCGTGACTGTCCACCTGCTTCCTCCACCCTCCGCCCCCACATTTAGAGGCTCACGGTGGTGCCTCTCCCCCAGGCAGCACCCAGTCTCCAGCCCTGCTGCAGCCCCTGGCAGGGGCCCTGGCCCAACTCTGGAGCTGGAGCCAGTGTCCCTCGGCCACCTGTGCCACCTGGTCCGGCTTCCACTACCGCACCTTTGACAAGCGCCACTACCACTTCCTGGGCCACTGCACTTACCTGGTGGCAGGTGCTGCTGACTCCACTTGGGCTGTCCACATCAGGCCCAGGGGCCATTGTCCCCAGCCTGGGCACTGTCAGCAGGTGAGGGAGGGAGCTGGGGATGGAGACAGGGAGGGAGCTGGGTATGGGAGGAGGAGAGACACTGACCATCTCACCCATGACCCGTCTCCTCCCAGGTCCGGGTGATGATGGGACCAGAGGAAGTGCTGATTCAGGGTGGAAATGTCTCTGTGAATGGGCAGCTGGTACCTGATGGGGAGTTTCAGCTGCTCTCGGGTGAGGGACAGTCTGCCCACACCCAGGGTGGGGCTCAGAAGGGGCAGCTGGGGACTGAGCTTGCTGCTGCCTCCCCGACCCCCACCGCTGTTGGGAGGCATTTGGAAATGAGGGAGCCAGCTGAGGAGCCAGGTGTTATGGACCTAGTCCTCGCCCCCACACCTGCAACCAACCCCCACCAGCTCCCTCACAAGGTGACCTGGGGCGAGTGCTTCTACTTAACCACTTAACCTCTCTGAGCCTCAGTTTCCCCCACTTGCCTCCCACAGTGTTGTGAGGAAGGCTTTGGTGCTAGGAGACGACACACACACACACACACAACCTCACTCCCATCTCACTCCATGGACCACAACCAGGACAAAAATTCTGGTAAGAAACTGTCCCATCTACTAGCACCAAAGCCAGCATTCATGAACTTCTCAAGGAGGGCTGTGATGGGAAACCAGTGGGGCTTCTTTAAAGAATATAAAGTGCAGAACTCTCCAGAATGGTGAGAATCCCTCATTTCCCCTTCCCTGGGCAGTCTGAGCCCTAGTGCGATGGTGGGAGGGGTGGGCAGTGTGACCCCCACTTTCCCTGTCCAGGGCTGAGCTTGCAGTGCTGTCAGGGGGCCTGGGGGTCGTTGTGCAGCTGGATGGGTCCAGTTCGATCTCCGTTTCTGTGGACCACAAGCTCCGGGACAGACTCAAGGCCTCTGTGGGCTCTACAATGGCCGGCGTGAAGGTAAGTGGGTGTGGTGTTGTGGCTGGTGTAGGAGGGAAGGGAAGACCTGAGGCCTCAGACAGCACCTCTGCTTTCTCCCTCCCCCAGATGACTTCTTGGAGCCAGGAGGGGGGCTGGCTGTATTAGCTGCCACCTTTGGGAATTCCTGGAAGCTGCCTGACTCAGAGGTGAGATGCAGCCCTCAGGGAGCCCGGGCTCCCTTGCTCCCCACCTGCCCACCCACGCCTCGCTTCTCTGACACCTTCAAGCCTCTGTTCTGTCTCCTGCAAGAGACAGTTCCTGGGCCTCTCCCAGATCCCCAGAGAAGAAAAGGCAGGCTCGGGGTCCCACAGGAGCTCAGTGTAAGGAGCTGTCCACAGCCCTGGCTCCCTACACCCAGGGGACACACTCACTGACCTGGTTACCAACCAGTTTTGGTTAATCAGCTAGTCATCAAACCTCCTGCCTGTGGGTTGACAGTGACGCCAGCTCCCCTGCCCCGGCCCCTGGCTTGCCACTTTGCTGCCCCTCCCCGTCATAACGGGGATGGTGTCTGGGTTGCGTGTCATGACGGTGGAGCTTTGAAGCAGCTGTGAAAGCAGTGGCTATTTTCCTGGTGTCCTTGTGAATGTGCCTCATCCCTGCTCCCTGTCCTGACTCCGATTGTCCCCAGGCTGGGTGTCTGGATGCAGTGGAGGCAGCACAGGGCTGCGAGGAGCCTCTGAGGGGCACCGAGGTGGGCACGGAGGCTGGCCAATTGCGGGCCGAAACCCAAGATGTATGCCACCAACTGCTGGATGGTCCATTCAGAGAATGCCATGTCCAGGTATAGGTGGGGGTGGAGATAGTGTCTGGCATCAGAGGGGCTGAAAAGAGGGGGTGCTGGGGAGGTGCCAAATGGGGAATCTGGTCCTGCTATTGGTCAAGCCCTCCTACTCTGTCCTGGGTTTTACCTCTGGGGAATGAGATTGCTCGTATGTATGAGCTGTGAGGTCCTCTACAGCCCTCATCTGTTTGGCTCTAAACCAGGGTGGGTGAGATAGAAGCAAGAGGAGGGGGCTGGTTGGCTGAGGGGCTGTCCTTTCTCGGAAGGTTCCCTCTGCTGAGTACCATGACGCCTGCCTCTTTGCCTACTGTGCTGGGGCCCCAGCAGGCAGTGGGAGAGAGGGCCGCAGGGAGGCTGTGTGTGCCACCTTGGCCAACTATGCCCAGGACCGTGCCAAGCGTCACATCCATGTGCTCTGGAGGAAGCCCGGCTTCTGTGGTAGGGTTCCTGCCTGTGCCTCCAGGCCTCCCCGCCCTGCAGGATTGGGAACTGAGGGAGGGCCCTAGTGTGACCCCTACTTCTGAGTGCTCTGGCGCCTGCTGAGCCCCCAGCGAGGCCTCCAGGCTCCTCAGCCCAGTGGTGCCTGGCGGGAGGAGGGGGGCTCCTGGGCCTCACAGCCACTCCTGTGCCTGCAGAGCGCCTGTGCCCCGGAGACCAACTGTACTCCGACTGCGCCTCGGCCTGCCCGCCCAGCTGCCCCACTGTGGGCGAGGGCGGGGAGGGGTCTTGCGGAGAATGCTTGAGCGGCTGCGATGTCCGCCCGGCCTCTTCTGGGACGGCGCCCTCTGTGCCTGCCTCCCAATGTCCCTTCTATTACCGACGCCAGCGCTACGCCCCCGGCGACACTGTGCGCCAGCTGTGCAACCCGTGCTGGGTCCGCAGGTGTTGCTGGCCCTTTCGCTGGGCTTGGAGACCGCCCCATCCACTCTGATCCCTCCCATGTGCTATCTCCTCAACCTGCTTTTCCGTCTGGGGACCTCTCACAAGTGGCCTGTGGCCTGCGCCCTCTCAGGGCATAAGTGGTGGCCCTGCTTGAAGACCTAGCTGGTGACCTCCACCAGCTGACTCTAAGCCTAATGGGAGGAGGAGGTGCCAGGGGCGGGAGACACCTGGTGTTGGGGACCGGAGGTCGTCTCCAGCTCAGCATAACCCTGCCCCGGGCTGATCCAGAGGGCGCTCTCTCACCCCTTGTGCTCACAGCGTGTGCCAGGACGGCCGGTGGCTCTGCGTGCGGGCTCCTGGCCTTCAGAGTGCGCGGTGGGCGGGGACGGGCACTACCACACCTTTGATGGGCGGAGCTTCTCCTCCATCCTGGTGCAGGCGAGGTGGGGGCGTTGGGGGGAACTAACTGCGGGCAGGGGAGGGGAGTAGGCGAATCTTCCTAGAGCAGGCCCCTTCGTAGGGCTGCTGTGAGGGTGAAATGACCATGCAAGGGTGGGGCTGTGGCCGTGTAGGGCCCGCTAAATCATTTGGTCTGGCCCTGCCAAGGCATTAGAGGTGAGTTAATTAAATGTTTGAACAAATATTGCAGGCTAATTTAAAAGAAATACTTTTAGGAAGGGGAGAGATAGAAACATCAATGATGAGAGAGAATCATTGATCGGCTGCCTCCTGCACGCCCCCTACTGGGGATCGAGTTTGCAATCCGGGCACATGCCCTTGACCAAAATCGAACCCCGGACCCTTCAGTCGCAAGCTGGCGCTCTATCCACTGGGCCAAACCGGCTAGGGCAGCAGGCTAATTTTTAAGATGATAATTTTGTATGGCTCCAGAATGATGTAAATACCCAAAATGGCCCTGGGCAGAAAAAAGGTTCCCCACCCCTGCAAGAAACCACTAAATAAGTGAACAAAATGCACACAGTTGTCCAGGGAAAAGCTGAGGGGGAACCGATTTTGGAGGGAGAGTGGCTGCAGCAGACACCATGTAGTCTCCCCTTTGGGTTCTCACCTCCTCTTTAGGTTCCTGTGAAAGTACTGCTGTCATCACCACCACATCCAGGGGCACCAAGCAAAATCCATGCTTGCAGTCCTTTCTCACAAATTGGACAGGGTGGGTTTGTCACAAGCTACTTCGTGCAAAATAGTCCCAGGGCCAATAAAGGACCTTCTTGGTCCCCTAGTAAAACTGAGTGACGTCTCAGGTTCAGGCCTAGGCATGTTCTTACACACACAAGCACAAACAGGTGTGCACAGATGACATATGCTCCTGCATATGCATATAGATTGATTTAGCATGTGCATACACATAGACACACACAGACATGAGCATACATACCCAGGGGGAGTAAAGAAGGGAGCCAATGCACATGTGAGTCTGGCTGGCTGGAAAGTGGTCAGCACACATTAGCGGGATCTACCTCCAGGTGTGAACTGGAGGTGGTCTGTAGAACACCTGTTCTCAGGTGCGACCCTCCCCCCATTCCTCACCGTCTGCCCCAGGACTTGGCCAAGGGGTAGCTGTTGATCGTGCTGGAGCATGGAGCCTGCGACTCTGGGAGCTGCCTCCACGCCATCTCTGTCTCCCAGGGGGACGCCCACATCCAGCTCAGGGACTCAGGTAGCCTTGGCTCACCGGGCACCTACCTACTAGGCCTTCCCTCCCGACAGTCCTCAGAACTGTGGCTCAGGCCCTAGCAGCCTCCTGTTACTGCCCCTCTCTCTGCAGACTCTGGCTCATTCCAGCACTTTCTGTCCACACTGCCCTGTGGTTTCTGAATCGCAAACCTCCCCTCAGATTCCCCAAACCAAACTCGTTGCTTCCATTTCCCCTAAGCCCCCCATCTCCGAAGCAGACACACAGTCCTTTGGGAAACTTCCAAGGCATCTTCTGCTCCATCCTTGGGGGTGGGGGTTGCAAGTTCTGAGAAGTTGGACACCAGGCCAGATAGGTCCCTCCCAGTTCGGATGCTGAGCCCACAGTCCCTCCATCTCCCTTCCCTGCATCTGCTCCTCCTATGTATGAACTGACTTCAAAGGCAAAGTAGGTGCTGAGGGTGGTCCTCAGTGCATGTGGGAGTGCTCACGGGGAATGGGTGATTGCCCAGGGCTCCCCTCACTCAGTGTGGGCAGCCCTCCCACCTCCTGCCCAGTCCTTTCCCTTTTTACAGCCCCATCCTGCCATATGTTGTCCCCTTAACCTCATCAGCCCAGCCCAGCCCTGCGTGGCAGCCCCCTCACAGGCCCCTTGTTCCAGGAGCTGCCCTGGCCAATGGGCAGGACGTGGGCCTGCCCTGGAGCAGCCCTGAGGGCATCAGTGTCTCCCGAGCCTCCTCCACCTTCCTGCTGCTGGAGTCCAGGTCCTCTGGGGGGTGTCTGACCCTGCAGCCTACATCACCCTGGACCCCCACCATGCCCAGAGGTGTGCCAGGGGGCAGGTGAGTGGCTGGGCGAGGCCACAGTGGGCCGGGTTTGACCATTTCTGCCTACTCCGGTGACCTAGGTGCAGGGCCTATGCGGCACCTTCACCTGGAACCAGCAGGACGACTTCCTGACACCTGCCGGTGACGTGGAGACCAGCATTGCTGCCTTTGCTAGCAAGTTCCAGCTGGCAGGCAAGGGAAGGTGCCCCTCAGAGGACAGCACCCCTCTTTCCCCCTGCAGCACCCACACTGAGCGCCATGTTTTCGCAGAGCCATCCTGCATGGCCCAGTCTTCCAGGTAGCTGGTTGGGGCTCTCCTCCTGTTCACACCTGTACGATGGGGTCAGTACCCGCCCTGCCCTCCTCCTGGACTATTGGGAAGGCCCTGCTGTGACAGGGCTTCTGAGCGCAGGGAGGTGACAGTGGGGACAAGAGGGAACGGGAATCTGTGGGGGAGAAGCTGATCCATTTCCTCTTCTTCCCCCAAGGAGTGCCACAGGCTGGTGGATGGAGCCCTTCCACCTGTGCTACTTGGCAGCCGTGTGTGGCCGTGCCCCTGGCAGGGACTGCCTGTGCCCAGTGCTTGCTGCCTATGCTCGCCGCTGTGCCCAGGAGGATGCCCCATCTCCCTGGAGCAGTGGTCGGCAAACTGCGGCTCACGAGCCACATGCGGCTCTTTGGTCCCTTGAGTGTGGCTCTTCCACAAAATACTGATTTCTGAGCATGGACCACGAAGTTTCAATCGCACTGTAAGTGCGCGCCCGCACGTGGTATTTTGTGGAAGAGCCACACTCAAGGGACCAAAGAGCCGCATGTGGCTCGCGAGCCGCAGTTTGCCGACCACTGCCCTGGAGGAACCAGACCCTCTGCCGTGAGTCAGCTCAGCCAGCACCCAATTTCCAGTCTCCTCCTCCCAGCTAGAAGGGATCCAAGAACTCTGAGGGGAGTTGGGGGTGGGGCCTCAGGAGGACCTCTGACCTTGCAGATTGCTGGCTTACCTTCTTTCAGAGGCATAGGAGGTGGTGGTGGGGTCCAGAGGGGTGGGCAGAGCAGCAGTGGCTATGCCCCTGACCTTCTTGTGTCTCTGTGCCCAGCTGTCTTGTGTCCTGGGGGCCAGGAGTACCAGGATTGTGCCCCAGTGTGCGGTCAGAAATGTGGGGAGCCAGAGGACTGTGGGAAGCTGGGTGGCTGTGTGGCTGGTTGTAATTGCCCCTTGGGGCTGCTGTGGGACCCTGAGGGCCAGTGTGTGCCCCCCAGCTTGTGCCCCTGCCAGCTTGAAGCCCGTCGTTATGCCCCTGGCAGTGCCACCATGAAGGACTGCAGCCGCTGGTGAGGGCAGCAACCTTTGTGGGGGGTGAAGGCTTGGGGGTGAGGAGATGGAACTTAGAGAAAAGGGCTTGTAGTCCGGTGGGTTTTAGCATGGCATGCCCGTGGGGATGACATAGCACTGATAACTGTTACTCAGTGGAGCACTTTAATGTACATGATCTTACTCAATTGTCCTTAATTCCTACAATAACCTAGGGAAGTAGGAAGTAGAAGAATTGTTCCCATTTTGCAGGCGAGGAAACTGAGGCTCAGATAGGTTAAACGGCTTGCAGAGTCACACAGCTTGTTCATGATGGTCTAGAACCCAGACCTCTGGATTCCAGTTGAGTGTGGTCTAGAGGCTCTTCCAAGGGTTAGGGAGAAGTAAAAGCAAGTTACAAAGCTATGGAGGCGGAGCCAGGGGCCAGGGCTTGGTGGGTGAATGTGAGACTTCAGTGAAATCCCCCTCCTACCTGGGCTGGGAGTGGGTAGTTCACTATCTCTGCCCCTCCCCAGAGCCCAGAGAATGGCCCCCATTGGAGCTGGGGTGACAATATCTAGCCCAGCTATCTCTGCCCCTCCCCAGAGCCCAGAGAATGGCCCCATCGGAGCTGGGGCAGGAAAGGGTGACAATATTTAGCCCAAGTATGGCTGGGTACTGGGAACAGCCCCAATCCCTGTGCTTGTAACAACTGGGGTGTTGGGGGAGGACACTCAGATCTCTGGAGTAGACGTTAGGGGCTTGGGACCCCTGGGTTCCTGAGCCTCTCCCAGGTCAGACCAGGCCCCTGGAGATGAGGCCAGCCTTGGACTGCCTCTCACCTTCCTTCTGTGTCCGAGGTGTGTGCCAGGACAGGGGCCTCTGGAACTGCAGTGATCGCCGCTGCACCCCCCAGCGGGCATTCTGTCCCCATGAGCTTGTCTATGCCCCTGATGCCTGCCTCCTCACCTGTGACAGCCCCAGTGCCAACCACTCCTGCCCCCCAGGCAGCACAGGGGACTGTGTCTGTCCCCCAGGCACCGTGTTGCTGGTAAGTCTGGGGGGAGCTGCATAGGGCACTGCCCTGCCCCCCTGGCTGTCTGAAAGAGTGGGAGGGGCATTGGGTTGTCCTCTAAGGTGCCCCTTTGTCCCTGGCCTCTGCCCAGGACGAGCGCTGTGTGCCTCCTGAGCTCTGTCCCTGCCGCCACGGTGGCAGGTGGTATCCACCCAATGCCACCATCCATGAGGACTGCAACATTGGTATGCCCAGCCCTGTGACCTGTAACCTTTGACCTTGTGACCCCTGGCTTGGGGCTGGAGCAATGGGTGGGGTGGGAGGACCAGACTGCCTGGGCAATGGGAGTCCTCCAGGATCCCCAAGCTGAGGGTCTCTCTGGAGTTGCTTGGAACCTGACCAGTTTTCTCCCCTGGATACAGCTGCCGATCCCGGTCCTTGTGACTCTGTTTCCCCTCTTCCCCTTGCCCACAGCGTGTGTCAGGGCAGGCAGTGGCACTGCATGGGCCAGCGGTGCGGTGGACGGTGCCAGGCATCGGGTGCCCCCCATTATGTGACATTCGATGGGCTAGCCCTCACCTTCCCCGGGGCCTGTGAATACCTGCTGGTGCGAGAGGCCAGTGGCCAGTTCACAGTCTCGGCCCAGAACCTGCCCTGCGGGGCCAGCGGCCTCACCTGCACCAAGGCACTGACCGTGCGGCTGCAGAGCACCGTTGTCCACATGCTCAGAGGTGACTGTGACATTGAAGGGTGGCGTTGCCAAGGAGGGGCACGCTGGATGGCCTCACAGCTCTACAGGGGTGGCTGAGGCCCGGGCTCTCCATGTCTCCCCGATTTGTATCAGTGCCGTGCAGCTGGCGCCCCCTCTCTTGGCTGGAAATCATCATTCTGGAAGGCTCTAAGAAATTAAGGCCCAGAGAGGGCTCATGGCCTGCCCAAGGTGACGTAGCTAGAGAAGCAAAAGGAAGGTTGGAGGGGAGGCTGGAAGGACCCCATGGGGATCTGGGAGGCCCCATACTCCAAGGCCGAGCCTGATGGCCTCCCTCCTCATCCAAAGGCCGGGCAGTGACAGTGAATGGGGTGAGTGTAACATCCCCCAAGGTCTACACAGGCCCCGGGCTGAGCCTTGGCCGGGCTGGCCTCTTCCTGCTGCTCACCACCCGCCTGGGCCTCTCCCTGCTCTGGGATGGAGGTCAGGCCCCATCCCTCACCCTCTGACCCTGCCCTGCCTTACCCAGGGGTCTAACTCCCCCAGACTCCTCCTCCCTACAAGTGGTCAGAGTTGTGTTCCTGTTACTTATGAAATCAGCACCTCCTCACCGAAGAAACATTTAGAAAATACCAAATTTCCTAACAACCCACCACCCAAAAAAGTGGTTGGTGTTTTAGAAATGACTGTTACCGAGAAACTGGAAACCGAAATAACCCCGCGTGTGGGAAGGAGTCTGGTGGCCAGCACAGCGGGGCTGACATCTGAGCCTCCAGCCACAGAGTCCCCTGGGGCTGGTGGGTGTCACAGTCTGACCTGGAGCCTGGCTGGAATCTGCCCATTTGGAGAATTTTCCTGTCCCCCATCCTGGGTGTAGTTAGGGGAGTAGGCTCCCACTTCTCCCCACCAAAAAGAGAGTGAAGCAGCGCCTCCTATTGGGTGGCGGTACTCATGCAGGTGGTCAGGCGGCCGCAACAATAGCGTCCCTGGTCTTATCCCTGCTCTGGGCCCCCACGAAGGCCAGCGGGTCATTTCTTTGCACAGTCGGCCCCCTGCTGCCTTTCTTCAGGCACCCGGGTCCTGCTGTCCCCGCAGTTCCGCGGCCGTGTGGCTGGGCTGTGTGGAGACTTTGATGGCGATGCCAGCAACAACCTGCGGAGCCGCCAGGGAGCCCTGGAGCCCACTGCTGAGCTGGCCGCCCACTCCTGGCTCCTCAGTCCTCTGTGCCCTGAGCCAGGGACCTGCCACACCCCTGCACCGTGAGCAAGGGCGGGAGACGGGAAAGGGAGTGGGTGCAGCTGCAGAAACCTGGGGGAAACGGAGGCTGGGCGCTGCGGAGGGATCTGGTCCACAGCGCTGTACCTGCAGGTGAATGCCCACCGGGCCGCCTGGGCTCGCTCCCGCTGCGGGGTGCTGCTGCAGCCACTCTGCCCGGGGCCACGCGGAGGTACCCCCACAGCAGCACTACGGGTGGTGCGTTTATGATGCCTGGATGCCGGCGGGTGAGAGCGGCAGGCCTGGGGACCGGGTGGGAGGGTGTGTGGCCGTGGAGAGCGGCTGCTGAGGCTGACCGACCCCTCCCACAGCTGTGATTCAGGAGGCGACTGTGAGTGTCTGTGCTCGGCCATTGCCACCTCCCGACACGGGCTCCACGTGCGCGCTGTCGCAGCCAGGAGCTCTGCCGCGAGTGTGCCTGCCCTCAGTCCCTGGTGCCCAGTCCCACCGCACCCAGCCGAACATGCTATGTTTGCTGCTCTGTAAACCCGTGTGTTGTAAACAGCCTTGGGAGGGTCTCAGCAGGAATCTACACCATGGCCCCATGCCCTTCAGGGCCGTCACCTTGGGCCGGCTCGCCTGCTGCTTTTGCATCCTGATGCCCTTGCACCTTGCTGACCAAGCCTCGCTCCTCTCCACCCAGCTCTGCAATGTGAAGGAGGCCAGGAGTATGAGGCCTGTGGCCCCACGTGTCCCCCCACCTGCCATGACCATGGTCCTGAAGCTGGTGGCATTGCCAGGCTGTCACCTGTGTGGAGGGCTTCTTCTGCCTTGAGGGGACTCTGCTGCATGGTGGGTAGGGTCAGAATGGGGAGAGGGGAGGCGGCACCGGGACAGGGAAGGGGCCACAAGGCCACAGGTGACAGGGCTGGCGTGAGGGCTGCTGTGCCCTGTGCTCCAAGCCCTGCCCTCTGTGACCTGAGGAGGCATCTGCATGAAGCTGGCTTTCTGTCCCTGTGAGTGGGGGAGAGGGGGGCGGCTTCTTCCCACCAGGAACGGTGCTGCAGAAGGCCTGTGGGGACTGGTGATTGGGGGCTTGGGGGAGCCCCATAGCCCCTGGGCTGTCCCAGAGCTACGTCTGATCCCAGGACATCATGTGCTCAGCACGTGCCAGGGAAGTCGGTGGCTTTGTGGGGGTGGCAGTACCCGCTGCGAGGAGCCTGTGCCTGGCTGTGCAGAGGGAGAGGCCCTGTGCCGGAGAGTGGGCACTGTGTGCCCCACGAGTGGCTTTGTGACAACCAGGACGACTGTGGCGATGGCTCAGATGAGGAGGGCAAGTGTCTTCGCCTGTGTGTGGCAGTGGCTGAATGACAGGCTGATCCTCGTATGTATCCTAGGACAACTTCCCAAGCTGCTGCTCCCATTACCAGCAGCGGTGACTTGTAGGCAGATGTGTTCTGGTCTTTCTGGGGTGAGGGACTTCTCTGGGACCCTATGTTGGCATCCTGAGCCTGCTTACCTGCCCCACACCAGGCTGTGCCACTGCAGGCTGCAGGGAGGGGCAGATATCTTGCAGCTCCGGCCACTGCCTGCCCCTGGCCCTGCTCTGTGATGGACAGGACGACTGTGGAGATGGACAGATGAGCAGGGCTGCCCATGCCCCCAGGACTCTCTGGCCTGTGCTGATGGGCGCTGCCTGCCCCCAGCCCTGCTCTGTGATGGACACCCTGACTGTCCAGATGCTGATGATGAGGAGTCCTGTCTGGGTGGGTGGTCCTGGCCCAGTCTCCAGCCCACCAGGCACCCTTCCCACAAGGCCTATCTTGTGGGCCCCAAACTGCCTGCCTCCCCTCCTTCCCCAATCCAGGGTCCCATTGGGAAGTTGGCACCTGTGGGTGTGTGAGTGGGCGCACACAGTGACAACAAGGGGCAGTGCCCTGGGGCCAGCTCCTCCTTTCCCTGGCTGCAGGGCAGGTGAACTGCACCCCTGGGGAGGTGTCCTGCATCGATGGCACCTGCATGGGGGCCATCCAGCTGTGTGACAGAATCTGGGACTGCCCAGATGGAGCAGATGAGGGGCCTGGGCACTGCCCCCTCCCCTCTCTGCCCACGCCCCCTGCTGGCACCTTGCCCAGTCCCTCCGCTGGCTCCTGGGAGACGGCACCAGCTCCCCTGGCCAGCACCAGCCCTGGTGAGTCTCCTCGGGGAGAAAGCTGGAGTGTGGAGGCCTGGGGGTCGGCGGGCAGGAGGGCATCTCAGAGGGAGGATTTGGGGCACGTGCTGGACTGGAAGGAACAGAGCACCGACCCAGCCTCCTGAAGACACCAGAATGAAAGAAGTGAAGGTGTTTGAGGGGGCTGAAAGAGTCCAAACCTTATTTCCTGACGTTCAAGGCCCCTCTGGGCTGAGGGGAGGGTAATGGAAATTCCCTGAGGAGGGGGGACAGCTTTTGGAAAACCAATAGGGCAGCAAAATGGGGAAGCGAATGGACTCGGGGAGGTTTCGGAGGTGGGGCGAGGGCCGGGCTCAGGTCAGGGACCGGGCGAGCCTGTAGCTGGAGCGGAGCGGGTGGTGGAGAAGGAAGGGCCAGGCCGGCTGGGGAGCGCTGTCTATCCGCCGGGC